AATAGGTCCAGGGACTTAGACTCCAAAGTTTTGATAGCAGACACAGTTATTTTTGCTGATGATACTGTGCTTATGGGAAGATCAAAGAAAAATTGCAAAGGTTGAGTGGAAGAGTAGAGAATGTTGTAAAGGTGAAAGGAGAACATAGAAAAGAGTAAGGTTATGAGGTATCAAATGATTTATGATAAGAAAAATTGATATCAAATTGGGGAGGAGGAGTAAAGGAAGAAGAGAATGTTTTCAGATACAGTGGTCCCCCGCTTTCGTAGTTCCCGGCAACGAAAAATTTTCCCCCCACAAACATAAGAGGTATTTTTGTAATAAACATGGACTCACTTTTCATAGGTTGACTCATGAGTCGTAGTTCGTCCCGGGACGCGTACCCACGGCGTGAGCCAGGGCGGCATGCCAGTCTGCATGTTTCCAGAGAGCGAAGGTCCCCTCAACGTGCTACAGCGAAATATTTCATAATATTCCATTATTTTAGTGCTTGAAGTATTAAATACGCTATCTATGGCTCCAAAGAAATCTCTTAGTGCCAAGCCTTGGTATAGAAGTGAGAATACATTGAAAATTAAAGAAACCAATCATTGAACAATATGAAAGTGGTTCAAGTGTGCCGAATGTCAGATGTAAAAGAAACCCTACACAAAATTAAAGATCCATAGTCCCAAGAAAATTAAATAAAGGATGCTGTTGTTGCAAGGAAGTAACAATGCTGACAAAAAATGAGATCACCATACTGGAAGAGGTTGAGAAGTTATTAAGGTGTGGATAAATGAGAACAATTAGCATGAGATACTCCTTAGACTTCGTTTATTTGTGAAAAGGCTAGGCAGTTGCATGAAGATTGGTAAAGAAATAGCCTGCAAATAGTGGTGATGTGAGTGAATATAAGGCCAGCAAAGGCTGGTTTGAGAGAATATAAGAACGTACGCATATACACAGTGGGGTAAGTCATGGAGAGCTGCAGTTCGGAACCACAGGCGGCTGAAAACTAAGTGCATGAATTCCCAGAGAACATAGAGGTTGAAGGACTGAAAACCTGAACCAAGTGTTCAATTGTTACGAAACAGGCCACTTTTGGAAAAAAAATGCCAAAGAGGACCTTCATTACACAAAGGAAAAGGCAAATCCATGACACAAGCCTATGAAAGACAGCTGACGCTAATGTTCTGTGCTAATGCTAGTGGGATTTCACAGTTGAAGCCATAACTATTGGACCATTCTGAAAAATCACAGTGTGTTCAGGAAACACAATGTTAATGAAGAGTAAAATTGTGTGGGTATTGAGAAATCTAATAGTAAGGCATGGTCACGAGGGAAATTTTCGTCGAGTGGGTTCAATGAAGTGTTTGCCCTAGTGAGATGGAGTATCCTCCTGAAAAGAAATTGGGATCTCAGTGCCTGCTAGTAATGACAATTGCACCTGCTCATCCTCCAAACTTGGATGTACCTAATTTTCGAGGAGTTTGGGTTCATCACAGTAAAGTTTCTTGCCCCGAATACACACATCTCCTCCTACCCAGGACCAGCAGGTATAGCAAACTTAAAAAATTTAATTATTTTATTTATAATCACTCTGCCGATTCCCACCAAGCAGGGTGCCCGAAAAAAGAAAAACATTCACCCTCATTCACTCCATCACTGTCTTGCCAGAAGTTGCTTTACACTACAGTTTTTAAACTGCAACATAAACACCCCACCCTTCAGAGTGCAGCACTGTAACTTCCCATCTCCAGGACTCTCTAGACCGGCCTCCAGATTTTCCCTTAACCCTTCATAAAGTGACTTTGCTCACACTCCACCAACAGCACTCCAAGTAATAAAAACCATTCGTCTCCATTCCACTCCTATCAAACACTACACAAAAGCAATGTATCACAAGTGCTTTTACTGTGACCACAGATACTCCCTTGACCCAAAGGGAATTTTGGAGAGAACACCTATGCATCCTCCACTGCATAACCCTTTATAGTTATGGCTTGGAGGGATGACACCAGGACTTTGAACTCTGCCTGAGAAATTGTGGCCAGATAGTGTCAGACAAGAGGGATTTGAAGAATTTGGGACAGACCCTATGAGCCTATGTCTATTGTAAAAACCATTGTGGCACAGGGGAGTTTCCATGGTGGATGTGAGTTTGTGGTGGGGGGGAAAATGGAAGAAATGGTGGCGACCACAAAGAGAGCTCACCACTGAGGAGCTGCAAGAGCTTCAGCAGGAAGACAACAAATCGCAAAGCTCAGAATCATGCTGCAGAGGAGAGGAGAGCAATGGAAGAAGTGCCTTCAGAATTAAAGTGATTTTTACTATGTGGGGTAAGATGAAAGCTTTATGGAGAAAGATCACCCTAACAAGGTTGTTGCAAGCCAGGTTGGCAACATTTTACAGTGAAAAAGTTTTGGGGCCAAATTTTAGGGAAGTGTTAAAGAGATGCCAGAAACAGAGCTCTCTCCACAGTTATTTTTGTGAGACAGGACTCCAGTGACTCTCAAGGTGGTCCTAGTGGCATTAAGAAACAGAGAAGAGAAGCAACCCCAGAAAAGCAAATGGTACCTGAGGTGTTGATGGAAGGGGATTCCCCTTCCAAACTATAAACAATCCACTCTCTCTCCTCCCAGTCCCCCAAACACTAAGAAGAATCTCCAAAAAAGGTAAGTGTTATGCTGTTAATGTTTTCATTCATCATTTCCCATTGTATTGTTTATGTACTACATGCATATTTCATTTTTAAAAAATTTTTTGTTTTAATACTTCTGGGTTGTCAGGAACGGATTAATTGTATTTTACATTATTTTTTAAATGGGGAAAATTGATTCGTAAATCGTAAATTTCGTTTATAGTAACGGCTCCAGGAACGGATTAATACGAACAACGAGGGACCACTGTACTTGGGGTTGAATTTGTCGGCAGATGGATTTATGAAGGATGAGGTTAATCATAAAATTTGATGAGAGAAAAAAGGCAAGTGGTGCTTGAGGTATATATGGAGACAAAAAACGTTACTAGGGAGGCAAAGAAGGGAATGTATGAAAGTATAGTAGTACCAACACTCTCTATGGTGTGAAGCTTGGGGTTGTGAATGCAGCAGAGAGGAGGCGGTTGGAGGCAGTGGAGAGTCCTGTTTTAAGGGCAATGTGTGGTGTAAATATTATTGCAGAAAATTCGGAGTGTGGAAATTAGGAGAAGATGTGGAGTTAAAAGTATTAGTCAGAGAGTGAAGAGGGGTTGTTGAAGTGGTTTGGTCATTTAGAGAGAATGGATCAAAGTAGAAGACATGAGAGCATTTAAATCTGTAGGGGAAGGAAGGCGGGGGAGGGGTCATCCTCGAAAAGGTTGGAAGGAAGGGGTAAGGGAGGTTTTGGTGGGCGAGGGGCTTGGACTTCCAGCAGGCGTGCGTGAGCGTGTTCGATAGGAGTGAATGGAGACGAATGGTTTTTTGGACCTGACGATCTGTTGGAATGTAGCAGGGGAATATTTGGCAAAAGGATTCAGGGAAACTGGTTATTTTATATAGGGGACTTTAGTCCGGAAATGGAAAGTACGATGCCTGTACTCTAAAGGAGGGGTTTGGGATATTGGCAGTTTGGAGGGGTATATTGTGTATCTTTTACGTACTTCTAAACTGTTGTATTTGGGCACCTCTGCAAAAAACAGTGATTGTGTGTGAGGTGAAAGAGTTGAATGACATTGGGAAAATTTTTTTTTTTTCTTTCTTTTTTGGGGCACTCTGCCTCGGGGGGAGACGGCAGACTTGTTAAAAAAAAAAAAAAAAAAATTACAACCATGAGGGCCCGGTCACAGACCTGGCTGCACGGCATTGACCCTTGAAACTCTCTCCAGGTTAACCCAAAATTTCTCATATCACAACCAATAAATTTTAAATTTTTTTAAAATAAAACAAGTGTAAACTAAATCAAGTGGCCATTTTTTTTTGAGAACTTTTCTCTGCCAAGGATGAGTTTGCCTATGAAAGACATAAGTGATTTGCATAATCCAACAAGTGTTTTGACACCACACATGTAATGAGTAAGGGACCCATGAGATGTTCTTTCTCTGGATTTTTTGAATGTAAGTGCTTACTTTTTTTTTTCAGAATGATTGTGCTGAAGGAATGCAGGTTGTTTTTAAAAGAGGAAGCCAGATTTTAAAAGACAGTAATTTTTCTTTTTATTA